CCGGCTGCATGAAGCGACGCCGCTGCGCCCCCGGCCCTGGCCGCTGTCCCGCTGCGCCGGGGGAGAGCCCGGCCGCATGGCCCCCCTCCCCACTCTTCCCGCGGAGTCCGGGTGGTCCCCCGCCACCCCCCCTCAGCCTCTGGCAAGGGGACCGAGGGGGGCGCGCGGACCCGCCGGCTGCACCTGCTCCGTCTGCAGCGCCCCCGCTTCCCCGGCTCTGCCGCGGCTCCTACTTCAGCCTCTGCCGCCGCCGCCGCGCGCTGTTGCAGCCCCGAGTTCCTTCCCCGCTGCTAACTTTCTGCCGGGAGAGAGGAGAGGCGCGGAGGGGAGGCGGAGGGGGCCGGGCGCGCGCCCCGCGCCGCCGAGGGAAGGGGAGTGCGCCTCGCGCGCGCCTGCGGAGGGGGACGCGGGAGCGGAGGCGTGCGCTAGAGCTGGGGCACCCGGCAAAGCGGAGATGGTGTCACCCCATTCAACACTCACACGCTGGAGGGGTTCCCCGCCCAACCCTGGTGCTCCCGCTCTCCTGGGAGCCTGGGACGCCAGGTTCTCCGCCCCTCTCCCAAGACTTTTAGGGACGTGGAGCCCGAAGCCAACCGCCAATGCCGCGCACCAGGGAGCTGGGGGCATGAGGGTGGCAAGCTCTCGCTTTCCCTTTTCTCATGGGACTCGAGGCAAACTCGGCCGTCTCTGACCCGCCCTTCTCTCCCCCTGGACATCCTCCTGCCTTTGGCCCAGGAGTAATCTCTTCTCCTTAACAGCTTTCCCATCCCAACTTCTATCTTTCCAGCCTCCCCGTCTTGTCTTGAAGCTTCTGATTGGTGTAGCTTCGATACAAACCCCCAGGTTTCTCTACCCCAGAGCTTTTGCCTCTGTCCCGCTACCGGTTGACTGTGCTTTCTGCTCCAAAAGAAGAGGCTGTCCCCTCCTCGACACCCTGAACCACGGATGCGCCTGCGCCCCTTGGGGGCCATTGCCACTAAAGGAATTCAGATTTCCCAGGACTGAAATAGACTGAGACTATCATCGCTCTAAACACCTTATAACTAGAAACAAGTTGGGTTGCAGGGTGTCTATGCTTCGCTTCACTGAATAAAAAAAAAAAAGTCTTTTCTTTGCAGAGAGATTTCCATCCCTCCTCACCTCCCTCTCCTGGGGGGAATGGTAAACATCAGAAGGCTTTGGAACATTCAAAACTAGACTGCTTCCTGTTTCCTTTTGCTCAGGAAGGTAGGGGAAATGGGAGGAAGAGGCAGAAAGATCAACTGAGGCAGTCTAGCAAACTCTGCTTCCTGGGGACAAGGGCTGGCCCTGCACTCTCCTGGGGACAGTCTTTCCCAGAGGCTGGCTCAGGTGAGTCCCATTTACCCTGCTAGCCACAGCTGGGTGCCTAGAGGGCTGATGTGATTGGCATCTCCGGTTTTGTTTGATCACATGATAGGAACAACAGTTGAAAGAAAATGTATATAAAGTCTAAATATTAACTAGATACCTAGTGCCAAAGAGAGAAAAAAAGGTTAATCCAATAAGATGAAGAACACGGACTTTTTCCTGAGTGAACAGAAGCTCACTGCTGCTCTCAGCTGGACAGGAGTTTCCTTCACTGCAGCTTCAATTCAGATAAAGATTATTCCTTGATAATACATTTTTTATGGTACACTGGAGACCTCTGAAATGCAGAGTTTGGTGTCCTGTAAATCATTCCCTGTAACTAGGGATGCTTTTTCAAACACTGCACGGCTGCATTCCTGTAATGTTAATGGGACGCGGCCAATTGGAGTTGAGAGCAGCACAAGCTTTGCCCATCCCTCCTTGCACTCCAAGCCCAGGTCTGGGTGGTCAGCCAGGAGGGCCCAGTTGAAGCAAATATCGTCATTGCCATGGTCCATCTCCCTTTCAAGGCCCAGGCACCAGGATGCTCAGCATGTGGTACAGGGGCCTCCCTGCAGTCCCTGCCTAGCTCTCAAACTTCTCCATCCACCCTCTCAGCAATCCAAATGAACCTGCTCTGTATCTACTTTTACTAAAGATGTGCTTTCAAATTTGGAAAGGTTTTGATAAAATGGTACTAAAATTTAACCCAGAGGTGGCAAACTAATGACAAACTAAGATCTGAATGTGGCCAGTGCAGTGATATTAAGAAATTTAAACTGGTCACAATATTTTTAAACTGAAGACTTTCCCCCCAAAATTGGATATAAGGTTTCTGTTGAAAAAACAGATCCAGCAACTTTGGGCCCCTCAACCAGAACCGAGAAGCACCCTTTACATGGAGCGTGTGTGCCCTGTTCTTCATGGTGCCCACCCAGAGTGCCCTCACACATTTATGTTACTTACCTGGATGCTGCTAATAAGGAAACTGCCTGGTGTCCCTTCTCCCGCTTGTCCCCAAATAGTCACACTTAAATAAGAGGCTCAAAAGAACAGAGCCCCACTGGTGAAATGTTAGGCCCCACAACTGATGGCAAGGAGGTGATTTTGGGGAGACGAGCTTTGGAGACTTCCCACGTGGGCACTTGCCTGTTTTTTTCTACTTGATCCAGGCTTTTTCTGGACCAAGTTCTTGAGAAACCTGTAATGAAAAGTAGGAGCTACCCACACAGGGAGAACTCACAACTTCATTCAGCAATTCCCTGGGTATCGGGAGACTAGATAGACTATTTTTTTCCGTCTCCATTGCGAACACCCATGCTCATTCAGGCCTATCTGAGTTTTTACAATATTCCTCCACCTGGTTTCCAGGCCTCCAGCATGCTTCATTTCTATTCATCCTGGACAAGGATAGATCAATGTTTCTGAGGCATGGCTTCACTAATGCCCTCTCTGACTCAGAAACCTTCCTCTCACTGCCTACCTAATAGACTCCAACCTCTCTACCTTAGCACTCAGGGCCCCTCCCACCTTTCACGTAGCTCACAGTCCTGCCAAACCAGAGAGTACACACTCCCCAGATATACACATTGCATTATTCTGTTTCACCTCTGCATGATCACATGTTAGAGTTAAAACAAAGCCATTGTTTGTTAGCTAAGTGACTTTTGGACAGGTCATTTCACCTCCCTGAACCTCAGTTTCTGCATATATAAATTATGAATAATAAGACTCACTTCAAATTGTTTTTATAAAGAATTAAATTGACTTAGAGAGCATATGCAAAAATACCTGGCTCCCTGCCTGACATGTGGTGGCTACCAATAATTATTTGTACCTAGATATTGGCTCATGCCATGCCTTGCTTCTTTTCCTATTAAAACCTTATGCTTGAAAAATTATGTGTGTACCCTTTCTTCAAAACCAGCCCAACCTGTAAGCTGAAATTCACTTTCCTAAGCCACTCAGTAGCATTTATATAGCTAAGTCTAATGCCTTCGATAGTTTTTTTTAAGCAATAGAAACTAACTCTGGCTAATTTCAGTTTTCTTATTAAAGAAATTGACTATAAGGATTTATGGTAACTCACATAACTGAAGGGAATTTTTGAAAAATCAACAAACAAGAAGCAAAAATAGGCTTTGGAGGGGTCGGCCCAGTGGCATAGCGGTTAAGTTCGTGTGCTCCGATTCGGCGGCCCGGAGTTCGCAGCTTCGGATCCCGGGCACGGACCCATGCACTGCTTGTCAAGCCATGCTCTGGCGGTGTCCCATATAAAGTAGAGGAAGATGGGCATGGATGTTAGCCCAGGGCCAATCTTCCTCAGCAAAAAGAGGACTATTGGCGTCGGATGTTAGCTCAGGGCTAATCTTCCTCCCCGCCCCCCCCCCCAAAGAAAATAGGCTTTGGAAAGCACAATAGAGCGATCATAGTGTACAGTTGTCATTACTGCCATTCACCAAATATCGTCGGCTCTCCTCTGGCCCACAGAAGGGATATATCTTCTGGGCCCCTTAAAGTTAGATGTGACTCTGTGACACTTTGGCTAATGAAAATTGAGCAAAATGAGGTTGTCTCTTCCAGGCAGAAGCTTTGGCAGACAGTAGGAACGTGGTTTTCCTGCCTGGCAATTGTGCAAGACGTTGGATTGAGCCTTTCTTAGCTGCCATCTACTCAATCCTCCAGACTGAGCAAGGATAATATAGGGCCAGCCACTGATGACGTGAAGCATGATTGAGAAATAAACCTTGGTTTTCAGCTCCTGAGATTTGGACTGGTTGTGAATACAACACAACCTGGACTATTTGACTGAGGAAAACATACCTATTATTAATTTCCTCTGCTGTTGACCAAAACGACTTCAGTAAGCCAATATTAGAATTCCCTTTCACAGAGGTGGATGAATGACAGATTAGAAGTCTACACTGTCCCAGCAGTGTAGACAGACCCCTTGTCTCATACACAGCAAATATATTTCCCCATTTTGTCTTTTACCTGTCAATAAAAAAGTCTATCTATAGAAATCTGGAGGTAAAGCTCCAGACAAAATCAACATGGTGACAAAGAGGATCAT